AAGCGGCACCGAAAGTAATAGCAATAATCCTCTTGGTGTGCCAGAGTCAGGAAATATCCGACACAAACCACTGAGAAATGGAAATTTTCAATGCGCCCACATCGCAGATGATTCCGTGCATTCCCCGCGGATTCATTTTGACAGCCCATTCAACATCTAAGCACCGGCCACTGGATCCGTACTGCCCCACTACTGGAATCGTGCCCGAGGGAGAAGATATATCGGAAGATTTGTGTCCGTGATCGCACGAGAAAAATACATTTGTCCTCTCAATCTAGATTACAATGTTTTGTGTCCTCTAGCTACAACAACCGCACAGAAATTGCAAAATTACCACGCCACCCTTCGGAGACCAAACTTTCGGCCCTTTAGAGAAGACTTTGCATAATTAACAGCTTGATGAAGGAATGTCGAGTTGAGGGGAGCTCGCTGCTCAAGAGTCAAAGGTTCCAGACCCTCACACCTCCCCAGTAGGTGTCATGGTACTGCGGTTGGAGGATTACAATCCTAAAAGGTTACTGCAAACCAATGGGTCAATGACCAAGAAGGTGAGCGCAGATCGTAGGCGGGAGGGCGGGGACTCGAGGGGGTGTACAGTATGTGCTCTAGAACTGGTGATCGAACGAACTGAGATGCTTAGGCCTATCACGTAAGGACGGGTGTCGTGGTGTTACCATAGCGCAAGCTCGATAATAGAACAGTTACAAGTCGAAGGCGAAAGGCCAATTATCATATATTGCGGTGTCGTAGTGGCAATCAAGAATCACATTCCTGAGACGGTATCATTGACCTAGAAGAATTGAATGGAATCACCAGCATTCCGTCAATACTATACACGGAAATGAGCCTCTTGCGCGGGCGCGAGAGCCTCCATCATTTTGTGTGACCGGACCTGAACGCCTCAGGGGATCGGTCCAAACTGAAAATGTAGAGACAACGCCGAGGATGACCGCAGCCACCATTACGTCGCTCTACAGGGTTACGAGGTCATACCGCAGAAACCGGCGGAGGAGACACCCTTGAAACCCGGTTGGCCACCAGTTAGTCTCCATGATTTTTGTTGTAGAGTTTGGGCCCCCCCTGCCCGAGGCAGTGAACCTTAGAGCGAGAATGCTTCCGAAGTTCTGACGAAACTAGCATCGGATGAACGCGAACGATGACACTGCCGTACAAGTTACGATGACTACCATGACCTTGACAAGGGTCATACAAATCAAGCCTCCAATCTTTTCATGACTAAAATAGACAAGCGTGAAGAAGCTGTTGAGTTGGGAGCAGTGGGTGTGGCACGCTCACGCTTGAAAGCTTGTTCACCCACGAACGTTGAGTCAGAGTCGGTATCACCCGGCTGAACTTGAAGGACACAAGTGAGAAAAAAGTTCCTGTAAAGTTCTAAACCATGTAAATCGGACGGCCCGGTAGGGAGGCCAACTCCCCTGGGAGGTAAGTCGGCCTCGGGGATGGATTGGGTACTCTCCCGATGATAATACATATGATTGGTTCGTTCGGTGGCGCAACTAGTGTACTTTTAGTCGAAAACACAAAATCAAGTTAGTTTCTCAACTTGTACATCAAAACATTGGCCAAACTAAACCAAAAAGACCAAGTGCCCGCCTATTGTTGGGCCTTGTTTTCGTCCGCACTTCGCCGTTCCTCATGAATTGATTGAATTGATAGGCCGCATTCTCGACCGACTGATTGTTTCCTTTTCCCCTAAAAATGATCGAGGGTTGAAGAGGGAGGCATTCTTCATGATGGGATCTTTACATCACAACATGAGAGTAGGACGGATACCCGCGGAAACCGAGACCCGGCAATTTGGCTAAAGAAACCACTGCCGAGGCTCCTCATTCGCACCCCTTTCTATCAGACAAAATGGTCAATCCAATTATCTTCCAGTCGTCGAAGGATATTTCTTGGTTCCCTCGGTATTTCAGAAACAAAAAGAACCACCCTTCAAGTAGCAATAAGCATTTCCGCACTTGGATCCATCCAAATTCACAACTATAATTTGTACGTAGTCCATAACTTCTATTCATTTTCCTTCACTCTGAAGTACGTCAGAGGCACGCCTGCAACAAGTAGCTATTGTCTGTAAAAGGCAAGCATTGAGGTTCGTAAGACCGCCCGAGCGCTCAGCGCTAGCGTCAGTAGGTCACCTAACGCGAATCTCTATTTCCTTGCATGGCTTACGACTCGGCACTCTATTGTATTCAACATCGGCCACTCACCTATTCGGTTCTTGCACATCCTCGCACCCTTAGAAGCCATCATTTATTGGATCAAATGAATCCTGTGCGGACTTGTTGCATCGCGTTGCTGCCACCGAGGCTGGACTGTCGCCTTTGAGAACAGACTGAGATGAGATGAGATGCTGTCGGGCTGCTGTCTGTGCTGTGCAACAAAGACATCCAGACGTCCCGTCCTTCCTGTCAACTTGGGCTGTGCATTTTCTAACTCAGGCAGACACGTGCTCCATGCGCACTGACCACGTTTCACGTTTACTAGATGCGGGCTGGTACGGGCATCGTCAGACATGTTACGTGAACAGTGCATTCACTGTTTCTCCTCGCACCGTAAAAAAAGAAGTCACCATGCTGATATCCGAATGGGGGTTGAGGCATCCTTCACACTCGCATCACTTTGATAGTCTGAAACTCTCAAGAGCTAGGTCGGCTCGTATCTTAGCTTTGGGTGTGATCGTGTGCTCAAACTCAAACTAGAAGAAGTCCTGGCCGTTCAAAGGAATGGATAGAATCACGTTCACGTGTGGCAAAAATACAATGCTAACAAGATTTATAGCTTTTTTACACACTTGACTAGGAAGGTTCCTATCAGACGAGACGTGACCTTGTTACGGTGAATGGAAGTGTTGGGATGATGAAGTATCGAGGGCTCGCAAAAGAGATGGAAATAGCAAGCCGGTTGCACGTGCTCATTAGAGGTCCGAGACAACCGAGGAAATTATGGGGCAGCGGCGCGGCCGTTTGAACGGACCTCACTTGAGGAAATATCAACTAGCAAAGCTTCTTTCCGGCTCGAACTACGAGAGGAACTGAGTGTGTTCAGTCGAATGTCAATCAGCGCGCGGGATGATGCGCGCAACAAAGTTCAGCCTTACGAATCCTTGGATTTTCGATTGGGTTTGGGCCAACCCCAAACCTCACGGATCCACCGTTCCATGGGCACCTCCTGCTTCATGACCCTAACGACCCACGGATGGGATAGCATCTCTTTTGGCGTTGGACGCAAGGCCGGATCCACCCGTAGACTAAATCAGGTGATGCTGTTAGGATGGAGACATGAGGGAGGCGGCGAGGCGGCGCACGTCTCTTTAATGAAATCTTTCATGGCATCGCTCCAGCGTACGTCTGCTTCATCTTCTAGTTGCGGTGGCTAGACGTAAAATAATTGGTATATCGCACCGCAGAATGGAGAAATGAATAACGCACTTCGCTTTGCGTAATATAAATCATGAGTTCAATGGGGGGCATGTCACTGGAGAAGGGGAAACGATTTTGTACAAGCTCGAGGAGAGATAGGCCTGTCGACCAGACATCCGCACGGATGGAATATTCGAGACCTGAGAGGCGTTCGGGCTGCAAGGCAAGCGCATGTTAGACGCAGCTATTACGCGACAGCTGAACAGGACGGACAGCCATGTATAGACTTGTACCGGTAAACGTGCCCGCAAAGGACCCGATTAATTCTCCTGAAACACCAAAATCACAAAGTTTGACGACACCCTCGCGGGAGAGGAGGACATTGGAAGGTTTAATATCGCGGTGAATGAGCTTCTTTGAATGAAGGTATGCAAGACCCTGCAATATCTGAGACAAACGTGAGGATTACTGGTGGCATTAAAACGGTGGTGAGTGCTTACCCCTTCCGCGAGCCTTCCTGCGACTTTTTCACCAACTCGGGCACCACGCTCCTTGATACGCTTGCCCACCGCTTCCAAACTCTTGCCATGGCATATTTCCATCACTACTTTGACTTCGCTGGACGATGGCGACATATAAGCACCATAGAAACGAATGACGTTGGGGTGTTTGATTGTGGTGATAATGCCGAGCTCGCGCACGAGCTGCTTCATTGGGGCCTCACGAGTGGTGATAGTCTTGCGTGCCATTAATTTGCCGGTGCGCTTGTCTCTGACCTCGTGCACGGCACCACCAGCACCTTCTCCGAGCCGGGTAACCTCAACGAAAACATCGTCTGACCATTCAGTTTGTGGCTGATCATCGATCTGTTCCTCCCCAGGGTATGTGGGCGGAGGGGGCGTGGAACGGGTCTGGACTTCGATATCAGTAATCGTACGGCGAACATCCTCCATCGAGAGGGGCCTAGAAGTATTCGCAGATGGGCGGATAGTGGCATCATCGATACCACTATCGTTCACTGGAGGGGAGACAGAAGGTGTCTGTGGACCACCGTAATAGTCACCCCCAAAGATTACGGTTGGTTCGCTAGACTGACGTGAGCTGGAGGAGCCACCGATGGCAAGCTTTAGGGAGGGCTTGCCCTTACTGGGGGCGGTAGATGGAGTTGGGATTTGAAGAGCTAGCCTGGGTGTTGGTGAGCGAGATAAGGGAGGACTGGGAGGAGTGAGAAGAGAGGAGGGTTCTTGCTTAGGCGTCGATGCCTTGCGTATATTGAGAGGAGCTGTCTGCTGCGAAATAGCATAGGGTGCGGGGGAAGGGGCCCTCTGAATGGTGCGAGGACCGTGGGGGCGAGCGGGAACGGGTGCATGTGCTTGACCGCCAGACCCAGTGGAAAGTAACATAGAAGGCATAAAACTGCAGCAAAGGAGGATAAACTCAGTCAAGGTGAGTGGGCTAAGAGCCTGAGATGGGGACACGACTGAGAGTAAGAGTCGGGCTGCGGGCGTCGGTCCAGTCACTTTGTAACGATAAGCTACACGCGCGCGCCCCCGGCCCTTGACAACGACCAACCACCTCGAAGGATCTACTACCCTTCTTCCTTCTCCTTTTTGTTAGGGTACTGTGGCCGAGTGGTTATGGCGTCACGTTTAGGTTCCAACCAAATCCGTGATGGGAAACCTCGCGAGTTCGAATCTCGTCAGTGCCAGTTTTTTTTTCTACCCTTGTCGTTGTGGATACGCGCCGCACCCACAAGTTGTGGTCAGCAGCGTACTGAACCATCCGCACTCTGCCACAACTTCTGTGATGTGCTATATAGCATTTTAAAGAGCCTCCCCCCCCCTGTGTGACGGCCAGAACTTTTGGTCATCATGTCGTCCAACACTACCTGGTCTAACACCTCACCATCCAGTTCTAATACACACCTTTCTACCCCTCCTGCCACTCCCAGGAAACCACGGAAACAGCCGGGTTCACTTCGCCTCGACTCTATCAGCGTTGATCCCAATCGAATCGTTGGCAAAGTCCTTGTCCACATTCGCAAGTCTCCCATACACCCAGCTGTCACTCTCCACTTCTCTGATAATACCACCTACCAAGTCCGCGTCGATGGCTACGACCCCATTCACCGTGGCATACCGAAGGAACTGGAGATGAATTCGGTGCTCATGCCTCTCTTCAAGCCCCCAGGTGGTCAGATTGACGTTCATCTGACCGTGACTCACGCGCGCTTGGTAGAACTGAAGGACACCGCGCACGAGTGGTCCGAGATGGCAGAGAGTAGATGGAACGTCGAGCACCTCGCCCTCGCCTTGAAATTCGCAGAAGAATCCGGTTGGCATTGCGTCTGGGCAACCATGGCAGAGTATGATGGCGAATTTGGGCCGTGCACATTCCGGAGCTTTGACGACGTCTATCTTGCGGAATTACATCCGTCATCACCTCGGAAGCGCAAATCTCCGCAAAAAGCAAGAACGGGGCCCCCGCGGGTCTGACATCCCCTTCAGATGCTGAAATTGCCGGAATCGGATCTCACTTGGAGATTTTATAATGAATCACATTGCCTCAAAATTTGGGGTCAAATCTCTGGACAATTCTACCTAATTATTCGACTGTGTTGTCATCGAGTCCACGGACATCCAGGAATGCGTTTTGTTGATATGTAGTCGTAATATCACTGTATCTGTATTGATCTTTATTTCCAACATGAATACTCCATCAGGTCCTTTTTGTGTCCAGTGTGCTCGCCCCCTTCCAGACCCCACTGCTCCCGCAGTTGGCAAGTACGACGGACCATGAGAACTCAGGGCGCCGTAATTCCCCGTACATTGTCTCATGTCGCGGTGGCCTAACCCCAGGTCTCAAGTCGACAAATATCCATTCTAGTCGCTGAGAGGGGAGGATGTCTCTAACCCCATCCGGATACTCGGGTCCCCTGAAGTGGAATCACTTCACAACAGAATCAGATCAGGGCCAAAAAGGCGCGAGTTTGGAATGGAGCATCCAATCACTAGTGAAGGCGGAGACAAAAACAGACAACGGTTTCACGTACCTGTCGCGTGAAGCTCCGGGATAGCGTCCAGCGTTCTTAACGCTCTACTGAAAATGTACGCGCCATTCCCATTAGAGCACAGGCGGTAAATGCTCTCCGGGTTGTGTCGTGCCGTAAGGTAGGAGGGGGGGTGTCCACCATGACCTCACTGAGTGATCATCTCACTGAACACACCTTCCTCTAGCCCATTCTGGCGCCTTCATTGATAAGAAGGTTCATTTACATGCTCCGAGTGTCATACGCATCTAGCTGCATCGAGCAAGGTGTCATTGCAGGTGAGTTCATGGCTCCAGAATCTTCTGAATCGCAAAAGACACGACAGCGTGAGCCTCTTTGCCCGATTTCAAGGTATATGAGTATGGAGACAATGATATTCTCACTTTCCCGCGATGACGGCGGCCTGGCCCGTAAGAAAACGCAACAGAAATGGGTGCTGAGGTCTCTAAATCTGTTGTCCCGTCCTCAGATGGAGATATTCGGGAAATATCGTAGGGATTATTTAGCCAGGCCTGGGGCCACGAAACGAGATGTCATACTTTCAGTAGGCCTTGTGATGAGACCTACCAAAATTAGTTGATTGAGAGTCCCTGAAGCACGAAGGCTAGCTGATGGGCGCAACATCATGTTGGAGCGGTTATTGTGCGAGCGGCGCCGTGGGTACGTTGTGAGTGTCAACGATTCCGGCACTACGCCGATGGCCGATCATGACATGTCCTGCATGGGATGACAAGTGGGAAACGACGGTAGAGTCAAAGGGCTTTCTTTGACTTTCAGATGTTTTATTTGGGAGCTCGACCTGTCATAAATATGGTTTCACATGGTCTATTTCGAATTAATGTGTCTACGGCTGCAAAAGTGATCATGAACGGTTAAATACAGTACTCAGGGGGACTCACTTGAATCAATCAAATCGTCTGCGCCAAATGAATGACAAGCTGGAAGCCCCCCGATCTGGGTCCCTTTGCTGAAATTCCAACTTTAGGACGCCTGCACGAAACATCACACTATCTGAATCGGACATGCTCGAATTTCATTAGCTTCGTGCCCCCAGGAGCACAGAGCTTCGGAATCGTGGCGTTCAGCTTTATAAGTGGAATATTGAACGTACTTTAACTGCGGTTGCAACAGTATGGCGAATATGAACACGGTTCGGTCCAAAACAGGTTGGGTCGGAACTACAGTATTTGCTTTCACGTCATGACAGGGTATGGAACAGCACAGCCCACAACCAAGTTGGTGTTTGAGATGGAGGGACTATATTCCAGAGGGACTTTCCAATACTTTAATAACTACTAGAACGAATGGGGGTGATGATCAACACGCACACGCTGAGCTGAACACAAAAAACTTTGAGGGTTGGCGCTGAGGGAGTCACTGGGAGGGGTATAGTGCCCCCCCAATGAGGTTAGGTGACAAGTAACATTACTTCCTGACTTGTCCCCATCAGAAAAAAGTGCATCATGACAGCCATTTTGTCCCCTTAAAATCGCCGTAAAGTGCACACTAAATCTCACTGAGAAGCCTAGCTCGTCGGGGAGATTCCGGCCGCCCGTCCCCGATGGTCCCATGTGGGCCAGCCACAAACTGGTGGCGTTTGGCCCAGACGATTTTGTATCATGACCTCCACGACCTCGTCAAAAATGACATTGTCCTCCAAGGTTACTTTCGCGTCATTAACTCAGAACAACCTGGGAACTGTCCGAAAGTTGAACTCTGTTCTCTTTCCGATAAAATATAGTGAAAAATTCTACAGCGAGATTCTTTTACCCGAAGTGGATGACTTTTGCAAGCTCAGTACGTATCTCCTCTCCTCTTTTCCTCCAGTGTTCCGATCAAATCCGCAGTTTATTACAACGATATTCCCGTCGGAACGATATGTTGCAGACTCGAAACGAAGGACAACGTTAACCATCTATACTTGCTGACCATGGGAGTACTTGCCGTGCGCCATGGTTATAATTCCACGCCTCGTCCTTATTGTGAAGCACTTTGTTGTTCTCTAGCCCTATCGTTCTCTTGGAATAGGCTCGTACAGCTTGGATGTCATCTTGAGAGCAGCCGCTGCTCATTCTAAGCCCCAAATCTGCCGCATATATCTTCACGTCCAGGTTTCGAACGATGCTGCGAAGCACTTCTACGAGAAACATGGATTTAAGGAGAGTGGCATTGATGAAGACTACTACAAGAAAATTAAACCCAGCGGTGCTTGGGTGTTAGAACGAGAGATCGAGCCTTCGGAAGGCAAGTAGAACTGATGGGGTACTAATCGTTGATCAACAAAAGGCGTGTAGTGAGTGTGACCTTTATCTGTTACTGTATCCCCCATATCACTTAGCAAGGGTGGATCATTCACAGTATATATATAGGCTACAAAATAAACATCGGGGTGTCTAATACCAAGAGAACGGAGCAGATTATAATCAGACACTGACGCCTATCCCCAGACGGCATGGTAGGATGAGATAAACACTACAAGTCAAATCGCAAATCTGCTGGCTTCTCGAGTCAGCGTGGGGCATGCAGGACGCAATGCTGTTCACGCGTAAGGCATTGAAGCCGAGTCGGCCTCAGGACTGCTCCTCAAAGCCACACCTTTTCACAAGCTTGGAGGGGAATCAGCCACAATTCACTAAGAGGATGGGTAAACAAACCTGGTGTCTCTTCAATGCATCCTTCCTCGTGAAGGTCTTGCCACATCCCCCGTTACACAAGAACGGTTTCTCTCCAGAGTGTGTCTCTCGGTGTCGCTTGAGATCGTGCTGACGATTGAATGAGAGAGCACACATATCACAAGCAAATGGGCGTTGGGGAGAAGCAGGATACTGCATCTGATCAATGCCCTGCACAACCATCTGGGGACTCTTCGACTCGTGCGATCCGTAGGAATGGCTTGACGAAGAGGAATAGCCTTGTTGAGGAACAGACAACGACCGGTTGTGGTTATACCCTGATCTTGGGTCCAACGGCGTTATACCGCTCTGGGATGAATATGGCACAGATGGAGGGGAAACGCTATGAGAGTGTTGACTGTTGGAGGTTGGAGACGGGTAGGGTGAGTGCCTCGTCGCTGAATGGTAATTGTGCTGAGATGACACTCCAGAAGTTTGAGCAGACGTAGCGGCATAAGGGTAAGTGGAAGGATATGGAGAAGGCGTCACTGTCGGAGACACGGGCGGCGATCCCTGTCCTGGGGGGTAGTAGCTCCCATTGGAAGGGGAGTAAGGCACGCGTTGGCCTGACCTACTACTCCACTGCGGTAGAGGGTAGTTAGTGTTGGATTGCTCCGTGGCAGTGTGGCGCGCGTTGTTGAGATTCATGATGTGGGATCGGAGGATAGTGAGAGACGAGGCGTGATAAGTTAAATCCCATCTCCTTTCACTGCCTTCATAAGGCTTTGGCGAGGCGCCAAAAAAGTCCAGGAACGCCGCCGAACCAGAGGGGATGAATTGCCGGGTAGCGGCATCGTTGAGCTGCGGACTCTGGGCCATATCCCAGGTCAAAACGTCCAATAGATGTCACGATGAGGGAGACAAATTAAGTTAGCTCCTACGTGCAAGGAACGTTTGCCGATAACATGGCTGAACCCTTCCGTCCCGGATTGTTCTGCCAGCGTTCGTGCCGTCGTTAATTTACACCAGTAATTTACAGCGCTGGTA